AACATGAAACATAATTTATTGAATAAATAGTCATGAATGTTCGAAGGAATATTTACTTAACGAACTTGATACGCATGAGCGGCCCGTGGCGCGTGCTACGTGCACGGCCACGCCCTTCGGCCAAAACAATGACTGAACTTGACTTTCCTTCGAACAACTCAAACTAATTGAAAATGATTTAACATAAACTGACTAACCACACAAGGTTGCTTGAGAGATTGTGAATTTAAACATGACATGACCTACATGAATTTCACGCACGGCGAACACGAAATATGGCTAAGACATGAACTTGAACTCAAGTTACGATTGAAGCTAAACCTGATGCTATTTATCATAACAAGATGAGAGCTGAAACTACCTCTCCGCTGCTCGATAATCTCCACTAGGTGCGGCGTTCGCGTGTGTGCTATGCTCTCTCGGCGTGAACAACGTGCGGTGCGATAAGCCTTTGCGATGCGGCGCTCGGCTAAGCTTCCTTGCGTGAGTGTGATGAGTTATTAAGGAAACTCTCAATTTTTCTCCAACTCTCTATCTCTGAGCGTATATAAGTGAAGATGGAAGAAAATTTTCCCAATTCTCTACTATATATATGGATGGCCGAGAGGTAAGAGTGATGAGGGCCTTGTTGTCTCCTTACTAACATAACATTTGTTAGCTTAATATTGAGCAAGAATGATGACTCATCAAATTAATATTCCACCTCATGCTTGGATTTCCCTTGCTTTAAGGAATAAGCTCACGTTTTCCTTAATGTGAAGAGAAGAAAATTACTACGGCACTTTAATTATCATTGAAAAATTGGCTACGGCTTTTAGGAGTTTAAGGGAAAAATGGTATGGTTTAAACTCATTAAACCGTGGTTAATTATTCCTTAATCACCCTTTATGCTTAATTAATTATTAAGCATAATACTTAATTACCAAAATTATTCCGAACGTAAACGGAACATCCAAAATAATTTCGGGTAATCTTGACTGAAAATAATTAATTCCGAAAATAATAATCGACAACAATATTATATCGGAACTAAAAACATGATTTATATAATTAATCTGACGGGCTATTCCTGACTGAATAATCAATTCCAAAATCATTAATTAAATAAACGAATCAGAATTAAATCTGGAAACTTATTCGGTTACTTAAATAATTCCACCGAATAATTTATCGACTAATAGTCGAACTTGGAATATGACTAGCTGATTAACTCGAACTTGAACATGAACATGATTATTTATTAACAAAGGCTAGCTTAAAACTAAAATCTAGTATTTTCCTTTATTAATAAAATACGGGGCGTTACAAGTGTTGTGCCCCGGTGATTTGTGGTAGTCGCAATACCGAGATTTATCCAACTTCTCCTCGGGCATCCGAAGTGGTTTGGGGTCGGGCAGAAAGCCCTTTCCTTTAATTTCCTCATAGATGGTGGCAGCTCCATCTGAATAAATGGTTTGATAACCGGATTTCACGTCGGTAGCATACTGTTTCCGAGCTGCTCTGATTTCGGGGTCGTTGGCGTCTCCCCGGGGGTAACCTCTAAATTGAGCCTTGTTTTGCTTATCGAAGGACTTGTTTTTCTTCCGATCATCAGTTCCCAACTTGGATGACTTCGGATTGAATTTAAAATCGGGAACTGACATCACTTCCTCGGCAATGATATTTTGCTGAGCTCGGGCAAGGAATTCCTGGAAGGTGTTTGGCTTATTCTGACATAATGTCCAGCGAAAATGGAGTTCGGTTTCAACCCGGCAATTTCCATAACAAGTAGGGTTTCCGGATGACATGGCTCCATATTTTGAACTCGGTCATTAAATCGAGCAATATATTCCTTGACGCTTTCATCGTCTTTTTCAGTCACGTTTGCAAGGGATTCTTTTGGAACTAAACAAACTTGGGCACCGATGAAGTGAGATCGGAAAGCCGACTTCAGCTGTTGCCACTTCCAAATAGAATGAGGGAGTAAAGAATGGTACCATTTTTTAGCTCGAGGCCCTAAAGTAAGAGAGAACATGCGACACCGAAGTGCGTCGGAGGCCCCATGGAGATCCATCCATGATGTGTAGTGACCGAGGTGTGAGTCGGGATCCGACGTTCCATCATATAATCTAATTTGAGGGACTTTGACTTTTTCGGGTACAAGTTCCGAAGTAAGCTCAGGCGTGAGAGGGGAGTCGGCTTCCAGGTATACTTGCACCGAGGTCGAGGCCCGCCGAGGAGGATCTTCGGGCATCCTTTGCCGACTCTCCAATTTGGCGATACTTCGTCGCAACGTTTCAAGTTCGGAGGATTCTTGGCGAGCTCGGTTTCTTTCTGTATGTTGACGAAGGTCGGTCTGCGCC